ACACACACACACACACACACGCCTCCTCAGCTGTCAATCATGACGTCTTTGCCAATTTATACTTCATCAAATAACTAATTAAAACCAAACTTATTAGAAACGTGAACAGTTGATCAAACGTCATCAGAACGACCTCAGATGACAGAAACAATCTTTGTTTCACATGTGCTGTACTGCAGCCAGCCACCAGGGGGCGAGCATGATGATTTGGCTTCACTTTGAGGGAGCTGTCATGTCGTACACTTTTGTATCTGTAACTTATTCTAGTTCTTATCACACTGATGTTTGTTGAAGTGGTCGTGTCTGATTTTAATTAATTCCTTAAAATAATATGTGAAACGTCATGATTGACAGCTGACTCACGATTGGTCGAATGCACGTATCGTCTCCAAATGATGTCACCAGGTGAAAATGGCGACGCGTGTCTCTGAGACGGTTGATTTTTCCTTCACGTTCATCGGTTCTTTGTTTTTATTAGTTAAAAACACACGTGTTGATTAAAGAGCCTCATAACTCAGCTCCACGTGTTTGTCCTGCTTCAGTTTGCAGACGGTGTTTACCTGGTGTTGCTGATGGGGCTGCTGGAGGGATACTTTGTGCCGCTCTACAACTTTTTCCTCACGCCAGAGAATTTTGACCAAAAGGTAAAGTGGGATTTTCATTTCCTGTCTCATCTCGTCTCAGAATCACAGGAATGAACGTCAGATATTAAAAACCTGCCGGGTCGAACGCTTCTTCTGAAAACTCCTGTACCTGACTCCGTTAGTGGAGGATACACTTTTAAATTTACATAAAACTTATAAATCCCTTAAATACTTCACTAAATGTACACAGATGTAAAACAGATCCATAGCTTTTCTTTTTTTTTTAATCTTCATGCAACTAAAGCAACTGTTGAACTGAATCGCTGGATAATTGTGATTAAAAATGACCTTGATAATAAATTGCAGAATTTGTATTAAATCAAATGAATAAATTAATTTTAGAATTAATCAAAGAATCACAACCCTTTTGAAACCTTTCATAGTTATTTATGAAAAACCACAGTTTCATCCAACCTTGAAATTATTTTAATTTTCAATCCCGTTCACTGATGATGAACCAGGAGCAACTTCTGTTGATATGTAATTAATATAAAGCAACACGATGAAACTCGTGGTCACAGCGCCCCCTGCAGCCACAATTATGACGGGGGTTATGTCTGTCAGTGTGTTGGGCTCTGACTGTGTCGTCCCACTTAACGGAAACGCTGGGTATTACCCATGATCCTCTGCTTCCTGAACCAGAAGAGCTGCTGCTCGAACAAATCCCCCAAAGTTCTTCAGATTCTAAAAGTTTCCTGTTGAATATTGGAGATAAACTCTGGTTTTTAAAAACTTCTCAGTGTTTTTAACGGATCTACAGTTCAGCTGTCTGGACTGATTCTGACAACAAACTGTACATACAGTATATTGTACATACAGTATAAGTATATAGAATAAAGAGTAAATACAAAATCCTGCACAGCCCCTGATTTCTGGACTTTCTGATCTTTTGAAGATCCATGGCTGTGACTCGTCTTCTCGTCTCGACCTATGGTCCATGAGACTCGCTCTTGAATCCGTGCTCCATTTCTGAGGAGCCTCGTGCACCCGGAGCCAGAACTCCGCTCCTCTCAATAGCTTGATAAATGCCATCCGTTTCCCCCCCGAGCCCATTCAGTGCGGAGCCATCCCTCCTCTCCGTTGGCCTCTGTAGTACTACGGCATTCTGAGCAGGCAATCTGCGGAGACACCACAGTAGCCTTTTGTTTGGGTCTTGGCCAGGAGCCCCTGCCAGGCTGGAAAACAGAATGGGCATCGGCACTACAATCTACACACACACACACACACACACACACACA